TTTGTTTTTTTTTTTTTTTTTTTTTTTTTTTTTTGTTTGGTGTAACTTTTTTTTTTTGCATTATAACAGAAAACAATATTAAATTTCCTTACAATATTTTATGTTTCTGTTTTTTTCTTGCCATTTTTTTACCTTTATCATTTTATAATAAATATTGAATTACTAAAATTTTATTGTACAAATTTTTCTTTTTTAGGTTTTCAAGATGCCGATATGCTCTCAACAGCAGGCAAAATTTTTGCCATAGTTTATTCAATTATTGGCATTCCATTAATACTGCTGTATTTGGGTCAGTGTTCAAAAGCGTTGTCAGGTTTGGTTTCTGGAAACAAGATTCTCACTGTAGCCGCAGTTGCAGTATTTGTTACAGCAGTTATTTATGACATCACTGAGGATTCGGATGAAGATACTGTTAGCAGCATTTATTTTCTATGTTTAACTTTGTTCTTATCGCATTACTGCCGTTTTATTCAACCACAATTCCGTATTTCAGTATCAGATAACTGGGCTTGGTGCAGCGTAGCTGAACAATAGCTTAGTCATCAAAGTAGAATCTATAGACTGTAAAAGTCACTTGTTAACCTGTTATTGTTTATTTGATACTAATGACAGGGCTAATAACTGAGCCTAAAAAAGTGTCAAAAGATTTATAGTAGACACACTAAAAATTTTGAAATAATTAATAAAAAAAAAAAAACTATTTTTTTTATAACCGTATGGTATAAATGGATGGATTTGGAAAGTCAGTTGTTTTTTTTTTTTTGAAAGCATTAAATAAAAAGTTTGGGAAGCTAAGGGAAGTTAAAAAAAAAAATTGCAACTATCAGTTGAACAGTTAACTAACTGTTTTAGAAGCTGTAAGGCATTTGATACAATTGCGATTGTTACGGATGATTTTTTTTTTTCTGACTGCTTCAATCTTAAATTTTTATTTTTCTGTTCTCAATTTTCCTTGTCTTTTTTTTTTTTTTTTACAATTGTCGTTAAAACAACTTTTACAGTTTTTTGTTGCTTTCTGTAATTTGTTATCATTACTGTTTTTTTCTTTTTATTTTATTTTACACTTACACACATTGGGACAGAAAAAAAAAAAAAAAAAAAAACAGATCAGTTTTTTTCTTTCAGTTTTTCTTTACTGTTTTATTAATTAAGTGTTCTTTTCTTTTCAATTTCTTTACTTATTCCTATTATTTTTTTTTTTTTTTTTTT